CAGGGGGGGACATGACCATAATGCCCACATCCAAATGAGTCCAGAGTCTGCAGGTCGATAGCGCTATGGCTCGCCACAACCTGCAAATGCTTGCCAAACGCAACGGACTCGGGCGTGGGGATCGGTCCACGTATCGAAGGAATATTTCGGACGTGATATCGGTTGGAAGTGTGAGAACAGGGTAGACAATGGCAGCGAGGTCTCCCAGAATCTGCTCCCGCTCTTTATGCAGGAGCGCCATCTGGGTCTCAAGCGCGGCTATCCGCTGTTCCACTGCCCCAAGCTTTGAACGTAGGTGAAAGGCGGAGGATTTTAGGGTCAAGGCGTTATCCGGAAAGCGGCGGGGCTGGTTGTCGTTTGCGGACATGGCAAGGGATCCGCATGTCTGGATGAAGCTGCTAGTGCGCCCGGGGATTCCGTCTTTGTCGGCCATTATTAGAGTGGATTTGGAGGGTGAGTTTGAAAAGAGAGGAAAGACAACGGAGTTCAGCCCTTGAAAATTCGAGAGTGTGGCGGGAGTCAAGATGAATGATGATCGACGATCATCCCGCCCACTCTCTTAGTCAGCTGTCATGAATCGTGATCACGGCCGATGGATTCCCGAATTTCGGATCAACCAATCTCTCTTTCCGCTCCCAGAGTCCCATGGCTGCTGATCCACGCCAGATTGCAAAATCGCCTTGGCTGCATCCTCGGGCAGCATCGAAGCGAACGGGTCAATGTACGATCTGAGCAGCAGAACATCCGAATCCAAACTCCAAACGGCATACTACGCTCCTGACTCGCTGCTGTCCACCTGGCATCTTTCAGTCCCCCACACAATAAACACCGCCATCGAGATCCTCGAAACCACCACCCTCGACGCGGCGCGAACCGCAGCCTTGAAAGGGCGGAAACGGCCTATTGGCGTACTCAATTTTGCGTCGGCAGAGCAGCCTGGCGGCGGGTTTATCAACGGCTCGAACGCGCAGGAAGAGTCCCTCGCGCGTAGCTCGACGCTATATGCGTCGCTCATGACCCTCACCGCCCAACAGTTCTACTCTCTGCATTCCGCACACGGGAACGGCGGTTTCTACACACATGCGATGGTCTAATCGCCCACGATCATCGCCTTCCGCTCGGACGATGGCGTGTGGGTGCTGCCTATGGAGATCGACGTGCTGACGAGCCCTGCGGTGCACGCGGGCCTCGCGCGCCGCCGGGCGCGCAGCGGGGACTCGGTGGAGGCGAACATCGTGCGCACGATGCGTGAGCGTATGGCCCGCGTGCTGTTCCTCTTCGAGCGCCGCGGCGTGCGCAATCTCATCCTGGGCAGCTTTGGAACGGGTGTGTTCCAGAACGACGTGGATGCTGTAGCGGCCATTTGGGCGGAGCTGCTCGCCGATCGATTCGCGCGCTCGTTCCAGTTCGTCGCATTTGCGGTCATGGACCATCCCACGTATCAGCGGTTCAGCCGCGCGTTCGAGAAGGCCAAGGGGGGTAGCACCTTGTAGGTCTTTTTACGATTTTGCGCATTGAAATTGATTCCATTCTTTGATAGATAGTACCGCAAATGTATGTATATTATCCTGCTTGGCCATCGATGAGTGCCACCTCTCGTTGTAGCCGCTGCCCTGTGCGCAATGCACCGCATTGGACCGGTGTGGCATGAGGCCTGAGGTCGCGACGCGGCCATATGAATCGGCGCTGCGGACGGAGTTAAAGCGGAGGTTGACGCGCAGCTAAAATATTTCGATCGCCGGCACAACGTGACTCATTTTGGCAGTTCGCAGCTCGCAGCTCGCAGTTCGCAGTTCGCAGTTCTGAGTTCACAATGCAGCCGCTATCACTACGTTCCGCTGTCGCCTAGACTTGATCCGTCTAGCCGATGACGGCTGTGGGCGGTCGGCTAGACTGGCCTAGCAACCCTGTCTAGCCGAAGTCTAGCCGACCGGCCACAGCCGTCATTTGCCAGACGGAGCAAGTCTAGCCGACAGCGGAACATAGTGTATATAATATAAGTAGCGGTCCGCTCCCGTTCCCTTCCAAACCTTTCCACCGTTCGCTCATGTCAAGTTCCGGATTCGAAACCAGCGACCGCAGCATCTACCTCGACGAAGAGGTCCACTATCCAACCCGCCCAGTCGACAAGGACAAGGCGGAGCAGGAACTGATCGTCCACATCGAAAAGGCCACCAGCCCGGAGGAGAGCGCCCCTAAACAGAAGCATGTCCGGAGTACGTCGCCACTGTATTTCGCTGTCGGTTCCGTTCTGATTACTCGCACAGAATGCATCCTATTTACATGGGACTACCACTCGGCAACTTCCTTCTGGAGTGGACTTCGCGTCCAGCCCATCTTGGCGGATGAGATCCAGACCTTCAAAGCACTCATTACGGTGCATAAAGTCTTGCAGGAAGGGCATCCCGCCGTGAGAATAGCGACACGATCCCCTTAGACTCGCTTGTTCATTAACTGTCTCGCAGACCATCAAGGAGGCCCACGATCAAACAGCCTGGTTGGAGACGTGTGCACAAACTCTCAGGTCCGATGGGCGACGGGGTTCGCAGATTTCACGTTTTTCGCATCTCCGCGCTGACTGCTCATTTCAGGCTATGCCCCGCTAATACGGACTTACGTGCAATTCATTCTCGCTAAGCTGAGGTTTCATCGCCTGCGCCCAGAATTCAACGGTCTCTTCGAATACGACAAGTATGTCGCTGTCAAGGGGATCGACGATCCCAATGAAGGGTGCGTGCCCCTCTCGCGCGAAGCCTCCAATCTAAACCCAACCGCAGCTACGAAACCATCGCCGACCTCATGAGCTTGCAGGACCAGATCGAGTCCTTTCAGAGGAGGGTATTTTCGCATTTGAACCATTCACCCAATAACGAGTGCCGCGTTTCCGCGTTGGTGCCGCTGGTCAATGAGAGTTGGGGGATATACAGGTTCGTCACGAGCATGATGAGGGCCATGTTTAGACGTGCGTTCACCTGAAATTTTCGTATTCTTCCCACTCACCGGTAATTTAGAAACGAGACATCCCGATACTTTGGAGCCTTTGCGTCAACGGTATACATCCCAGCATCACAGTCTTCGGCAGTTCTATTACGAGTGCTCGAATCTCAAGTACCTGACCGGCCTCACCGATGTCCCGAAGCTGGCACAAGTAATGCCTGTGTTCCCATAAATGCCGTTTATTAAATTAAAATTTCCTCAGGAACCACCCAATCTACTCGACACTGGCGATGCTCCAGAGCTGTTGTTTCGTCCAAAGACAGCGGTATCCCCTCCCTCTGCCCCCTTCCCCGACGCGGACGCTGTTAACGAGCAGGTGCGCATACTCAATGAGTATGAATACCACCAGGTGGCACTATCAGGGGCGAGGCAGGCGGCCGAGCGCCAACATCTGGAGCGAGAGCAGCAGCAGGCAAGCGAGTTACAATTGCTCATCCACCAGCAGCAGTACAGCATGCACGCCTCGCGGCAGGCCAGCGAGCTCGAACGTGAGCTGCTCGCTCTTCGCGGCCAATGGGAGCGCGATCAGATGCTTTTGGAGCAGTACGACCGAGTATGTATTTCGTCAGTCTTGTTTCTTGCTGCTGATAATCCACTAGAGAGTCAGAGATTTGGAAGCTGAACTCGGTGGCGTCTGCGCCAACACCAACTCGCAGCTGGCTTCCAAGGACGACTTGATCAAACAACTTCAAGATCAAATTACTCTGTGGCGCGACAAGTGCGACGCGGTCGCCAAACTCTACGATCAACTTCGCACAGAGCATTTGGATATACTTTCGAAATTCACACAGACGCAGCCCGAGGCGCAATCTGGTCAGGAGGCTGTTGATCGCATGCAGAAAATGGACCGTGATCTCAAATCGAAAAACCTGGAGCTGGCTGATATGCTACGGGAGCGCGACCGAGCCCGGTTCGACATTGATCGCCAACAATCTAACCACAAGGATGAGATCGACCGTCTGCGTCGCGAGCTCAGCTTCGCGAACGAGCGCGCAGAACATGCTTCGCGCGCGGAAAATTCCGACGTCTCGAGCGTATTAAACACATACAACAGACAAATGCAAGAACTGGAGGACTCTCTCCGGGTACGTCCTTTTCTCTCTCCTCCTCGCATCGCTAAGGAAGCTCTGCACTTTAGGCCAAACAAATTCAAATCGACGACCTCCTTACGAAAGCCAACAATGCAGAGAGCAAACTGGAGCGGCTTCGGGACGAGAAAGACCAAGAGATCATGGTGTTGGAGGAGAGCATGAATGACACCATTCAGCGACCGTCGGACGCTCAACAGGTGAGGGTTTCCATCTTGTACTTAGTGCATTTTGAGCCTGACATCTTTCCAGGATCGGAACATCCTCGAATCGGTCAATAACACGCAGATCGACGATTTGATTCTCGATAACCAGAAGCAACTTAACCGGATCGTCGGTCCGTCACTCTGAGCTTCTGAGCGGTTCGCCGCCAAGGCTATTACGGAGGCGTGTCATGCCATGGTGCGTCAGGTCAAGGCGGTGTCCTCCCGCCAGTCTCAAGAGAAAGAGAAGGACGTGGATTACAAAGAGATGGCGGTGCTAGAAGCCAAGAAGCGGCAGATGGAGCAGCAGGTCGAGATTCTCAAGCTGGAGAAAGACCTCGTTGTTGCTCGCCAACGCCTTGGCACCATGCGGCGCGCGGGATATCACACGAACGCAATGGAATAGACCGAGGGCATTGCGGACGTTCTTCCATGTAATTTTGGTACTATAATAGTCAGATATGATTGTGGCAGAGAGTATGGGTCCGGGATCGAATTTCAGACTTGTCCGAGTGGTTTAATGGCTGATATCATACGCATACAGTTTTCAGCCTCGTACTTTGAGCGTGGAGACTTTGAGCATGGGATCAATGGCACGGGCTTGTGCGTGCGCGGAAACCCAGTGTGCTTTGACTTTTAGACCCGGCAAAATTCATGAGTAAGGGTGAGTTGAGAAGTGTACCAAAGAAAAAGCGTCAGCGAATTAGGTTAGTTCGGACGCGGGGAGTTGAACCCCGGCCTGCTGCCTATATCGGAGGAGTCCACATCATATTAACAGCAGCTGTGAACCGTGCACCACGTCCGAATTTACTACCCTTTGTAACCTAAGGGTATGAGATCTAGTTGAACGTGTCGGAAAAATCGAAAACACCAAATAAGGCCGAACATGGGCGTATAAGGTCAAATCAGGCCATCAGGTTTGGATGGCACTTATAAGGTTCAAAAACCCCCGGAAAAGGGCTTGTCAGCCTGACGAACCTGATCAGGCTGACGGGCCTGATAAGGGCATTTTTGTGGCTTTTCGCAAAAGGTTCTGACTATTCTTACATAGCTTTCAGTCATTCAGTGCTCTTCCAGGCGTTCTTTACGATTTAATGCTATGTATATGATATTACGATATTTATGTATACTAGAGACTGCGAAATTATTCACAGCAAACCTGGTTCACGTTGGAAGGGCACCAATCGAGTTTTGTACCTTGTTCGGCCCACCGGTTTACCCTTGTACCATCTCAATTAAACCCGTTTGACTTTGCGGTTTCATTGTTTTGATGCATCTGGGTGCCGTAGTCACATCGAAAGGTTATTGACAACACTTGGGTTCATTTTTTTTTCATTCTTGGGAGGGGGGATCTGACAGAGCCTGACCGGCCCTGATATGCTTGAACATTTGACCTGACACGGTCTGATCAGGCCTTACAAGCCCGTCAGGTCTCGTCAGCCCCTGATAAGGCAAAATCGATTTTTCCGACACGTACGTTGAACGTTGAACTGCCGGTCCACTGTTTCAATCTCGGGCTTCTGCTCCCGGCTCATGTCGGGTGGAAGAAATTCATGCAATGACAGATGAGCAAAATCTTATGGCCTTGCGAAACCTAGAAGCAGGTTGAATGTTGGATTCTGTACGTGGATGCCGTTGCTGCGCTCCTCTTTTTCTGGCGTTAGCGGCCATACTTGGCGGGTTGTGAAGACAGGAAATACGCGACGCGAATCCTGCGAAACCTGAATTTATGTGGGGTCCCTGAAGTCGGGAGGAGCTCATACTAAGCCGCTGGGACAGCGAAAAAGAATAATAGAGAGGCAGCAAAACAACATACTACGCCGAATTCGGACGCGGGGAATCGAACCCCGGCCTGCTGTGCCTATACCAGGGATGATGACAGGCCCTATCAACAGCAGCTGTGCACCGTGCACCACGTCCGAGTTTACTACCCCCTTTGTACCCTGAGTGTATGGGATCCAGTTGAACTGCTGCTCCACTCATTTAGCATGATTCAACCTCGGGCTTCTCGGCTTCCTTTGCACCAGACTCATTTCTTGTGGGAGGACCTCATGAACTGACGGATGTGCGAAACCTTATAGACTTGTTAAACCTAGAAGAAGCTTGAATGTTGGACTCTGTGCGTGGATGCCGTTGCTGCGCTCCTCTTTTTCTGGCGTTAGCGGCCATATTTGGGGGGTTGTGAAGACAGGAAATACGCGACGTGGATCCTGCGAAATCTCGTATTTATGTGCGGTCCCTGAAGCCGGGAGCAGTCCATTGGCCGGGGCAGCGAAAAAGAATGAGAGAGGTAGCAAACGAAAAAATCACCTAATACGCTGAGTTCGGACGCGGGGAGTCGAACCCCGGCCTGCTGTGCCTATATCTGGGTCGATGAGGCTCTATTAACAGCAGCTGTGCACCGTGCACCACGTCCGAGTTTCCTACCTGCTTCAGAATCTGGGGGTATGAGATCCAGTTGGACTGCTAGTGCGCGTTTTAGCGTGTTTCAAGCTCGGGCTTCTCGGGCTTCCAAGTTCTTTTGCTCCCGGCTCATTTCTTGTGGGAGGAACTCAATGACGGACAAGCGAAACCTTATGGCCCTGCTAATCTCCTCTCTTGCATTAGCCCTCGGACATTGGCGGCCGAGCTCGGAGGTTAGCCGACAGGCCTGGCAGAACGAACGGAAATACTGGCAGGTTACGTAGGTGGTCAATTCGCGCTGTGCCGCGCTTTTTTTTTTTGGCTGGCAGCACGAAACTCTGAATGAGCGACGTCAGGGAGGGAGATAGAAGCACCCGAGAAGACAAAGAGAGAGAGAAAATGATGACAACGGCTGGAGCTTCAATCGGATGCGGGGAGTCGAACCCCGGCCTGCTGTCTACCCGGTTCTTCAGCATTATTGAGAGCCGTGCCCCGTGCACCACATCCGAGGTTCTTGCCTCCTTGGTAGCTTGAACATATGTGATGGGATCCGTCCACGGCTGGGTCACTTTTTAAGTACACTGGGACCTGTGCGGGCTGCAGTTGCGCCGGTGAGATAATGCTAGGGTCGATTGTTACGGGAGAATTCAATGCCGTGTTTGAGCTCATCTCTGTTGATTTAATTGTGGCGTTGGAGGCCATGTCGGCGACACGAGACGGGAACACGGACGTCGGTCTGCCATTCGCGTTGCGCACTGGGATTTTATTTGGGAGGACCTCGTCTACGTGAGCCACGAACAAGAAGAAAGTAAGAAGAAGAGGGGAAAAAAGCACAATCAAATGCAATCCGGACGCGGGGAGTCGAACCCCGGACCGCTGCCGGCAGTTTGACCTTATTATGTGTATTGGGGGCAGCCGTGCACCGTGCACCACGTCAGAGGCCCCAATATCCTAGATGCCCTTTATATATGACCACAGTAAGTACAGCAGTAACGAAGTTCACCGGCGCAGCTTCTCCGCTAGACAAGCGACGTCCGGCGATCAATGATACTGAGTGGAGGCCCAACTGAATGATGAGTTGGGAAAGTGTTGAGAAGCAAGACCCTGTGGTTCTTAAGGGTTCTTACCGCGATAGATATGTATCACCTCAGCGGTTCGCGGATGGTTATCAATGTTCGAATTCGTCGGAGTCCCGGTATGAGTCCCGCATAAGGTACGCCTGCGCACGCTTGCGCTTCCCTGCGCTTCCGGGAATCCAAATCTTAAGATGCCGCGCATCTCGCCTTCCCAGGCCTTCCCGAGGTCGGAACTTGGGAAAAAACAATCACGTTGACATTGAACTAACCGAGGTGTGTGATCTTCGTTTCGAAACGCTCTCGAAACAGTCGAAACGCTCTCGAATCGTGCGTGGCAAGGCGTGGGAACGGCAGGTAATCTGCGAGGTGCAATAACCAACTACTGCAAAACGGTTTGGGGCGTCAAGGCAAGGGAGGAAAGGGGCAGAAGATCCCGCACGAAATTTGCCCCGCACAGATGCCGCTCCGTGCCGATGTGCCGTCTCCACGGGGATGTATGAGCACATTGATGCCGGGCGATCGGGGAATCAGCTGGCGTTCCCTGCGTTGAAAATCAGAACAGAAGCATGGCCGAGGGGTCAGCTGGCCCGAAGAACCTCGCGTACGCGGCGCCCTTACAAAAGCCGCGCCAGCGCACCCCGCGTTCGAGCCTCCCTCACCCCACACGCACACCAAAAAAAATGCGGCACTCTTCGCTGCTCTCGCTCGCGTTGTTCGCGCTCCCCGCCCTCGCGGACGTCACTACTGGCGTCCCCGACGCTGCGCCCCCCGGCTTCGAGGAGTGGGAGTCCCCCATCATCCTCCCCGCCCCCGCCGTGCGCGGCACGGGCGACTGGGCCTCCGCTGTCGCAAAAGCCACAAAGTTCGTCAAGGGCCTCACCCTCCCCGAGAAGGTCAACGTCACCACCGGTGTCGACGTCCTCGGTCGCTGTGTCGGCAACACCGGCGTATGTCTTCCATTTGTTTATTTTATTGCAAAGGTCTCTGACGATATTCTACCAAGACCATTCCGCGTATTGGCTGGAAGGGTTTCTGTCTGGAGGATTCCCCGCTCGGCGTTCGTTTCGCCGACTTTGTGTCTGCGTTCCCGGCGGGGATCAACGCCGCCGCTACGTGGGACGTCGACCTCATCGAGGCGCGCGGGAAGGCTATGGGCCAGGAGCACCGCGGCAAGGGCGTCAACGTGGCGCTTGGGCCTATGACTAACATGGGTGCGTCCTGTCTCTATCTTTTCAACCTATTCTTGCTTCGACTTAATTCTGATGTGGGCGGGGTTCAATTGATACTTTGTGCTATTCTCACATGTGTACTGATTCGAACCACAGGCCGTCAGGCTGCTGCCGGCCGCAACTGGGAAGGCTTTGGCGGGGACCCCTACCTCTCCGGTGCTGCCACTGCCGCTACCATCAACGGCTACCAAGGCGTCGGTGTTATTGCCACCGTTAAGCACTAGTGAGTACTTGCTCTGAACTTCTTTTCGCGAGCACCGGTGACGGTGATGCGACGTCGCCTCCATCTTACGTGGCCGTTCGTAATTTTCCTACGCGTCATGCGAGAGTTCGAAGGCGTCCATGATCCCCCTTCCCGCCGTCCTTCATTTCGCGTTTATTTTTGTCGCATTATGCTCTTCATACCCGCTTCACCGCATCGCCTGCCGCGGATGTTTTCCTACATTTTGATCTCATCAGTACCATCCATTCCCATTAACGGCATTATGTTCATTCATCGCGCTCCCTTCTCCCTGCCCTTTATACCCGTCTCCGTCTCCGTCTTCGTCTTCCGACCCCACCTAATGAACCCCATCCCAGCATTGGGAACGAGCAGGAGCACTTCCGCGGCGGCTCCGAGGCCGCGCAGATCTATTCTTCCAACATCGACGACCGCACGATGCACGAGCTCTACCTGTGGCCGTTCGCCGAGGCCGTGCACGCGGGCGTCGGGGCCGTCATGTGCTCGTACAACAAGATCAACCAGACGCAGGCGTGCCAGAACTCGAAGCTCATTAATGGGATTCTGAAGGAAGAGCTTGGCTTCCAGGGTTTCATCATGTCGGATTGGGCGGCGATGATTAATGGGGTGCAGCCTGCGCTTGCGGGGTTGGACATGAACATGCCGGGCTTTATTGGTTACGTGCGTCTCCCTCTCTCCTTTTCATTCTGTCTCCCCACTAACATATTCGTTTCAGGGCGTCGGCCCCCAGAACGACCCCGACCCATCCACGGCTACCAATTCGTGGTGGGGCGCCGCGCTCATCGACATGGTCAACAACGGTAGCGTGCCCGAGGCGCGTATCGACGATATGGTGCGCTATCTCTCATTCCCTTTC